TATTTTTTTTGATAGTTTATTGTTTCCTACTAAAACTTCTCGCTAATGAAAACTACTCTGATTATATATTGATTGCTGCAGCGATTAGATTTGTTACAGTCCTTCTATACTGTAATGCATACTAAATCTTCAATGTTTTTGATTGTTAAATATTTTTACAATATGTTCTAATTAATAGTACTTATTTTTCAATCGTGAAATAACACTACCAGGTTAGCGAATATTTAATGTTTCTATCTTTTTCAGGTGAAAAAATAGATATAGATGGATTAAAATTTACAACATTATTTTGACGCCAATCAACTTGGACTAAGAATGTTAATGCTTCAGATCATTAAGTACAATTCTTGTATATTTTAGACTTGAGATATCGACAGTGATTAAGGCAAGTGATGTATATATATATATAATAGTATAATTCACAATTATTACAATCCCCTTGTAATTTAATTAGAGTACTTAAAGTAGATTCATCTTGTTTCTTGAAAATCTATTTCTGCTTAATTCAATCATCATACATTAATTATAATTACTATAATCAGGATTCTAATTTTGATTAAATTTCTTAAGGTTAAACATTTTTTAATGAATTTTAATTTTTTTATTTTACAACTAATTAACCGAAAAAATTCTACATATCTTTAATGAATTTCTAAATGGTTTCTTCTTATTTATCATTAATTATACTTATAGACTCAATAATCTTTTCTTCATCTGATTGTTATGTATTATTAATAAATTATTGTTGAATTGATAAATCGGAGATATTCTAGATAATACATTTACCTAAGTTACTTGATAAATTTATTTCCTTTACCTTTTCAATTTCTGATTCAATTATAAAATATCAATAACTTAATAAATAATTAGTTGATGAGAAAATTTCAACTTATAGCATCGAAATTAAAAGTTCAATTAAAAAGCATTTTGATGACAATGATATTAATATATTAATAGTTGTTATTAACTCTCTCTCTTTTTATAGTTTTTATTTTTAGAACAATAAGATTATTGCATCTTTCAGACTTTTAATTTTATGATCAACTTGGAATTTTCCAAATGAAATGAATTTTATACATATGTAAGGCCTGATAGGGTACTATTTAAATAAGTTCGCGATACTTTTATTCGTCCTTTTAAACAATTTTCCTATCAAGAATTTAGAGACTTTTATCTAAGGATTTTTATGAGAAAAGTATTTTATGGTGTAATTTAATTAATGAATCACCTGCTTATTACAACTATACACGAGTTGCCACGACATTTTTACGAAAGCACATGTGACGCTAATCAAATATGATACAAATCGTGCATTTGTTGAGAAGTATTACCTCAAAAAATTCCCAAAATGTTCAGTGGTTCCTTTACCGATTAGTTTGTTTCACACCACAGATTAAAATATAGCGACCTTCATTCTTATGTTAATGTGGATGTTAGAAATTAGAAAGTTATGAATGGGTTATTAAATCAACAATTATTCAATATTATTTGAAAATAAGAAAATGTATTGCGAAAAAGAGTAAGTTGAAGATTTGTATAAGGTTTTGGCTTTACCTAAAGATGTTGATGAAGCAGTCTTCCCTATCCTAATTAGAATATTGAAAAGATAGTAAATTTAAGACTGCTTAGAATTTCTCTCAAAAAATCTAAATCTAAGGTAAGTCGAATAAGAAATACAAAAGGGAGAAAATTACAAAATATTTGGAAAAGAATAGAAGCTCAATGTTGGAAGGAACAACATTATTAGAATAACAGATGCTCTCAAAAAACTTTTGGATCATGAATTTTCTGAAAAGAATTACTCAATAGATTAATACGAAGAACTTAAGAAAAATCTAATCATAAAAATATCGTGGGATAAGCAGATTATAGAATTCCTGAAATTTTTAATTCATCTTACTGCCTTGGATGAGAAATATATTGAGTGTGGATCAAATTCTCTTCATTTATTAGTTTTAATGAAAGTTGACTTGAAGGACTCATGTTTTGAGAATATTAGAATAAGAAATACCTCAATAATAGGAGCAAACTTGGTAAGATGTGACTTAAGCGGATCTTAATTGGATAATGTCATTATCAGTGGAGTGAATTTGAATTAAGCCAAATTATTTAATTGTAAATGGAGGATTTTAAGAATCAATTAGTTGAATAAGTTTAATGGTCATAGCCATCGTGTCAATTAAGTTTGCTTTTCTCCAGATGGTAAGTCTTTAGCTACTTGTAGTGATGATCACTCTATTCGGGAATGGGATGTGTAAACAGGACAAATAAAGTCAATAATCGGAAGAAAGAGGGAGGTAAAATCAGTATGCTTCTCGCCTAAGAATACAACATTAGCTTTTAGTAGCTAAGAATTTGTGTATTTATGGAATCTTAAAACAGGAAAATAAATTTCTAAATTAAATGGTCATTCATCAATTATTATTTCTGTCAATTTCTCTCCTGGTGGTACTACATTAGCATCTGGTAGTTCAGATAACTCTATCCGTTTATGGGATGTTAAGACAGGATAACAAAAAGCCAAATTTGATGGTCATTCAGGTCATGTTTATTCAGTCAATTTCTCTCCCGATGGCTCTACATTAGCATCTGGTAGTTCAGATTACTCTATCCGTGTATGGGACGTTAAGACAGGATAATAAAAAGCCCAATTAGTTGGTCATTCAGGTCATGTTTATTCAGTCAATTTCTCTCCTGATGGTTCTACATTATCGTCTGGTAGTTATGATAAGTCTATCCGTTTATGGGATATTAAGACAGGATAATAAAAAGCCAAATTAGATGGTCATTCAGGTCATGTTTATTCAGTCAATTTCTCTCCTGATAGCTCTACACTAGCATCTGGTAGTTCAGATAACTCGATGCATTTATGGGATGTTAAGACAGAATTATAAAAAGCCAAATTAGATGGTCATGAAGATTCAATTTATTCAGTTAGTTACTCTCCTGATGGTACTACATTAGCATCTGGTAGTTATGATAAGTCTATCCGCTTATGGGATATTAAGACAGGATAATAAAAAGCCAAATTAGACGGTCATTTATCAATAGTTTCTTCAGTGAATTTCTCTCCTGATGGTTCTACATTAGCATCTGGTAGCTATGATAGGTCTATCCGATTATGGAATGTGAAAACAGGAGAATAAAAAGCCTAATTAGAAGGTATTTCAAGTGTAATTCTATCAGTCAAATTCTCTCCTGATGGTTCTACATTAGTATCTGGCAGTTATGATAAGTCTATCCGTTTATGGGATATTAAGACAGGATAATAAAAAGCCAAGTTAGATGGTCATTCATCACCTATAAGGTCAGTGAATTTCTCTCCTGATGGTACTACATTAGCATCTGGTAGTGATGATAGGTCTATCCGATTATGGAATGTTAAGACAGGATAATAAAAATCCAAATTAGATGGTCATTCATTAGCTGTAAGGTCAGTCAATTTCTCTCCTGATGGTACTACATTAGCATCTGGTGGTGACGATAACTTTATCCGCATATGGGATGTTAAGACAGGATAATAAAAAGCCAAATTAGATGGTCATATGCATTATGTTTATTCAGTTAATTTCTCCCACGATGGTACTACACTAACATCTGGTAGTTCAGATAACTCTATTCGTTTATGGGATGCTAAGACAGGATAATAAATAGCTAAATTAGATGGTCATTCAGATTATGTAAGATCAGTTAATTTCTCTCCTGATGGTACTACACTAGCATCTGGTAGCGATGATAACTCTATCCGCATATGGGATGTTAACACAGCAAAAGAGATTTACCCTCAAGATAATTGTTACAAAGAACTTCTTTCTTAAATTAAATTGCCACTTTCAAGCCAATCCCTATTATAAAATGGTATTTGTTAGTATCCTTCTTTAGCTAATTTTGATTGTACAATACTTAGAATATGTCAAAATCCAATGTTAGAAGCTTCAAGAGCCTTAATTTTGAAAGGAGTATTTGTGAATTATTAAGGTTTATATCTAAAATCCTTATTCAAATCTAAAGGAAGTTTGATATTAGAAAACTTAAATGAATTGAAGTGAGATTCTTTATTTTTAAAAAGTTAATAACAAAAAGTATCATTTATATTTTATGAATCTGTGATCAGCTGAATTAATCCAATAACTTTCTAACTGAAAAGTGATTTCTACATTTCTATATGATCTATGTATATTATCTGAGACATGAAGTTAAAAGTGAATAGCTAAATAAAGGGAGAAATTCAATATCCTAATAGCGATATTTAGTTTTCATAACATTTTTTTTGAACATCAAACGCGATTCTAATATAAAGTAACTGATACCGATTTTAAATTCCTTTTATTTCAATTTATAATGAGATTCAAATATGTTTTACCACAAATAGATTTATTTTTCATTGTTACATAGTTGATTTATTGCCATTGTTCACAACTTTTTCTTGATAGATACTAAATACCAGTCCTCAGCCCAATTGAAAATGTCTCTATAGACTTAAAAACCATATATGAAATCTTAACACTTAAGATTCATATCCAAAGTTATTCTTTGGATTTGGAAGTTAAAAATTTATTGGAAAAAGCAATTGAAAAAACTATACAAACGGGCTATATGAACAATGTATTATTAAATCTTTTTGTAAACTAAAATTGTTAGGTTTTTTTCAAATTCATCTCTTCTCTGATATATTTATCTCTTTTAGTTCATCTGTCTTTGATTGTTGGAAAAATGATTTTGTAAGTTTTTCATTTATTAATTATTATTCAAATTATTCTGATTTTTTTAAGATAGTATGATAATTTTACATTATTAAACAATCACTTTAATATATTAAAATTCCTTTCCTCAAATGTCGATTGCGATAATCGCACTTTATAAAATAAAGTAACAAATTAGCAATGAAAAATTATATAAAAATAACTAAGTCCAAATTTATATTAGATCAATAAATAAAATAAAACTGATCCATTAAATCAAGATCAAAATAATATCGGTTACTTTTAGAATCTTCCTCAACAAAAGATTTTCAAGTTCTATATAGATATTTCTACAATATCTTTATTGGACTTACCAAGTAGCAAAAATTTATTTTAACGAAAATAATTTAGAGGGTATTATAAGGATGTTCGAATTACAGCTCTTTAGATAATGGCTCTTAGAAAGTATTGAAAATGGTTAAAGGTTTATGGTAAGTTATATTCATCTCTTCTAATTAGTTTCTTAGAGGAAAATA